ACGGTGACACCAAAGCAACGTTCTGAGATTTAAATTCTTTAAAAAAATTTTGGTTGCTGTTGCTTGTTCTTTGAGGCAGCATCTTTCTGTTCTTCCTCCTCTTCCTCCTCCTCTCCCCGCCCCCCTTATTTTGGGTTGGTCTCAAATGATCCTTTTACTCATGCTCCCTCTAAAAAGCCGACACTCTTACTGTGAACCTTGGGCCTGGCCCAGAGCACAGGTAGTTATTGGAAGATCTTGAATAAGGAAACAATGTAACTCTTCAACTTGGTGACAGCATCACCATATTGGCCTTGAGGAGGCCACGGAACAAAGGCAGCAAGGCAACTGATGGGCAGGACATCTCAAACAGGACTACAATGGAAGCTTCCTTTCTTGTGTCCCCAGGCACCGAGCCCAGGTCCCACTGGGGAAGCCCGAGAATAAACAGAAGCTCAGTTCTTTTATTTGGAAGGAGGAACGCTCGGTTAAGAGCTGGAGAAATTCCAGGCAGAGACCCTGAGACACTAAGCAGGTCAGTGTCCACAACCATCATTGGTGAGACGGGTCAGGAAGGGGAAGGGGAGATCCAGAGGAAAAAGACAGCGCCATCCAAGAAGGTGCCTTCTACGTGCAACTGACGAGCACTCTCCCAAGGCTCCTCCTTCCTTAAGGTCTTGAAAGCCCTGCTGAGTCTCAGATGCTGTGAGGAGGCCTAGAACACAGCACAGTGTTCCCTTCACAATGAGGTTAAGGAGGAGTTAACCTCTAAAGCAGCTTGTGGTCATGGCCTATGTAAAATAAGTCTGCTTGCTTTGAAAACGTGCGTCTGCGGGGGTGCAGACCTCACACCTAGCCTTATGAATGTCAGATCGTGCATTTATATTTTATCTGTCATTCTACCGACCATCTTGAGAAGTAAAATGTGGTTTCAAGGAAAGGCCTTGTTGTTGCCCATGCTGAAGCAACTGTAACACCAGCACACTACAGTCTAGTCAGCGCTGGAGGGCCCTCGTTGAACTAGCTGCTTCCTTCACTCACAGGTGAGTTGCAGAAGACACGCTGACAATGGCCCCAGGAAAGGAGTCCTCGCCGTTGCAGGAAGCACCCCGACAGCATGTACGGTCACCACTGGGAAGGACGTGACACTGAACTCGTCATATGGAAGCCGTCCCTGCTAGAACCCTGGCACCAGCATGGACGATACAGTAACCCTAGCATACATGGCTGTAACGTGTCTTCCAACTTCATGCCAAGGGAGCTCTCGGGCTACACTTTTCCTACTACATTCTACAGGAATCTAGGTATTGCTAGAAAGGAAGATAGTAATGATAAATTATGTGTTATTATTTACTTGAGAGGCGAAAGAAATAGGATCATAATTGCTTTTCTTTCTGAATAAAGTCTTGAAATTCCCTAATTTTATTTTTATTGATTCTTACCACTATTTGATATAGTAACAATCCCAGTTTAAAAAAAAAAAGAGAGAAGTAGAATTCTCAGTGAAAACACAGGTGCTTGCTAACACACACGCACACACATGCGCATACGTGCGCGCGCGCACACACATGCGCGCGCACACACACACACACACACACACACACACACACACACGAAGAGACACTTGAGCCCCCAGTGATGCCTACCACCCCTGAGGATGACCAATTGCAACAATCACATTTTGTGAGAGTCAATGAGAAATCCATTGTGTGGCTCTAATTCCCACATGAATGGCTACTTGTTTTGTAGCTATTCTCACTATTATCTGAATCACACTTTATTTAAAGTCTGTCTAGAGAGCCAGGAAATGAACAGTCTGTCCAAGGTAGCTCTCCATCTATGTCAAGAGAAAAGAAAAATCACTTTCCAGGAATCAGCTATGGCTTCCCTGTGATGTCATGTTTTCCTATTGTAACTCTGAAGAGACCAATTTTCTCCCTTGTTTTCCTTCTTTGGCAAGGTGGTGGAGCTACATGAAAGAGAGTTTCTGTTTGACTCTATCAGTTGTGATCTCTCTGACAGACATGTCAATATTTTCTGTGTAACTTAATTTCTTGTAAAACATTTTTCAGTTTATGATAAACAAACCATACTCTCTTCCTCTCAGTTTCTCCCATCGTATTATTTTCAAGCCATTTAAACCACAGCATGCTCCCCACCCGCCCTCCCGGCTGTTTGTGCTTCTGGGGTCCTGGAGGATCTGCAAGGAAGGGGAGGCCGAAGGAGAAGAGTCAGAGCGGCTTCCTCAAGAGTTAATGCCCACAGGACGTTTGTGCGTACACATGTGCTCTACACTGAAGCACCATAAAAGCAGAGAGAGATGCGTCTCATTTCTGCATCCCTGGTCTGTCCACAGACACTAAATATTTACTGACAACATAAATAAGCAGTGAAAAAAAAGGAAAGACAGGTACATAAAGGGGAGGGAGGGAGGCAGGGAGGGAGGGAGGGAGGGAGGGAGCCCACAAAAGATTAAGTGGCGGGTGCTTAGAGGCTGCTGGGCCTGTAAATTTTGTTGCTTACTTATTTTCGTGAGTCTTGTAGATGACTAAGTAGACACAGGTACAGGCTCTGTGCAGACAAACATGGGTCCCCATCTTTGTGACAGACTAGTCACTGTTGAGTAACCTGACACAAATTATGGATGGTATCCTGTCATTTCTGTTCATTGTACAGATTTCAGAAACAAAAAGGAAAGCAACCAGTAATCAGTCTCTACAGAGTCTTCACCATTCAAAAGCCAACGAACGGGCTTATCTGTTGATCGGTAAGTACCTCTCTCTTCTTCCACACACCTGTGGAGGTGACCTGTGAGCACAGGCTCAACAGTGGATGCTCCTTCCTTCCTTCCTTCCTTCCTTCCTTCCTTCCTTCCTTCCTTCCTTCCTTCCTTCCTTCCTTCCTTCGGTGGGAAACACCCCCTGCCACACGATGCAGCCCCGCAGTGCTACTGTGGGGCAGGGGTAGAGGGTGTGTCTTCCTTTGCCACACACCTCAGCAGTGCTGGACGCAAACACCATGCCAACAGGGGGATGGCCAGAGCCTTGCGTGAAAGGCTGTGGCCCACGAAGGAGCGCTGGTCCATGATTTAAGAGACTTACTATCTAGGAATTAAGTCCCAGGTAATGCAGCCACTGGCCAAATGCTTGTGTTTTCCCACCTGGAAAGTCAACTGTGCGACATGTGGAGCGGTAATTAGAAACAAAACCCTAAATGGCCACTATGTGTTCGGTTCCCAGAGTTACTGCCTTCCTAGGTTTATGGGCAGACACCCACGTGCCAGGGTGTCTAGCAAATCATACTACGCCATATGGGATGCCAGAGGTCCCTAGAGCATAGCAAGGCGATGCCCATCGGAGGGTTTTTATCTCTGCTCATCCTCTAGACACACCCAGTGAAGGAAAGCCCAAGTGGACCGCACGGGAGTCACTGTCCTCAGCAGCACTGCCCTCAGACTTCCCTCCAGGAAGCCCCGGGGCTGCGGAAGTTGTGTTTTTCACCTTCTCTAAATGACTTGCAAATGTATTCAAACATAGTATGAAAGGATGCTCTATTTGTTGAGATAACCGTCTGCACTGTCCTGGACTAAGGGTGGGGTACACGATCCAGAAACGTGGGCAGAAGCACATTGGCTTAGAAAGCCATAAATCCTTATTTGAATCTGCCAACCTGAAAGCCACAACGAGCCCGCATAGACCGTCTCCTAAATGCTACATCTGATTAAGCCATACCATCGAGTGACAGCTGAACTTTAACATTAATATGATATTATTTAAATAACCACATGATTTTTTTTACACTCAAAATGATGAATGATTTCTGGACAGCTCAATCGACAGGAAGCAGGAGGACCCTTTAATGAGATTTGACGAAATGGAGACATGCAGAATGCTCGTTAAGCTCACGTCGCAGGGGCCTCCCCGCGAAGCAGGAGAGGAGAGCAGGCTCTCCTTTCTTTGTGTTGTCTTTAGGCACTGAAGCCTTCCTTTCGGTTGCCAGTGCTCTTCTCTGCGGACTTGGAGCTTTTCTGAGGTCATTTACGTACGGCTCTTAAGCAGAGAACTCCAGGACTTTTGGTTCTGGGTTGGGATGGCACCTCTAGGGATGGGAAGAAACTTGGCTGGTAATGTCCTGGGAACTTGGTGCTCACCGTTGATGGGGTCATGGAGAAATCACACCATCTCCCGATTATATATTTACTTGGGCCTTACACAATGAACTAAACCAAACAGCTTCAGAAAAGCGCTGCGCGCGGATGTGTGGCCGGAGGGGCTCCAGCTGTCTAGCACAGTTGTCTGAAGAGGGGAACTCCCTCTCTCTAGGGTCACCCACCCCTCACAGCTCCACGCCGGCATGATCATGGTAGACCGTCTTGTTACTTCATAGAGCATTGGTGGAAAATAATTACGAGCAGACTTAGAATATTACCCATCTTTACTCATTTACCTTTTCATGTTCTTCTGACTCCTTTCCACCAGTCAAAGCTTAGTCGCGCATGGTCCTTAAAAGATTGCTCTGATAATTGCGATATTCTTATGCATCATCTTTAAGTATGTACACAGCAAAGTGACGGTGCTTCCCCAGGCAGCCTTCCTCCCAGAAACTAAACAACACAACGAGCCAAGCTAGCGCCCAGAGTTCTCCGGATGATGGCAGGCCTCTGTCACAATCTAGAGGAAAGTCAGGATGCTCCTGCCATGGGCCTTCCCCAGGCTATGAAAAAAAACACTTCTTGTCTAACCCTAATTTTTTCTTTCCCATAGCTTGAGGTAAGCCCTCCAGCTCAAGCCTTGTCTCTAATCTGAGTTACCCCTATGTGGCTCTGACAAAAAAATAGGGTTAAAACTAGTGCTCTGTTATTTCAAAAGGGTGTTAACACAGCCTAGGAGGGAAGAGAAGAAACCCGGGAGCCTGTAAAATGCCCCATCCCAGCGGGATGGAAACAGTTGAGTGATGATGAGAGGAATCCAACACAATCGGACGGAAATAGTTGAGGAGAGAAACGGAAGATCGCTCCCTACCTGGCTCTTACCTTCGCAACATCCCCGTCAGGATCCTGGAGCTTTTCCCCAAGTTTGCATCTGTCTCCCGAAGCTGAAGGGGAGAATGTGGTGGGAACAGAAGAAGATGAAAGAAACATCAGTACTCAGTGAGTCTCAGGCACCTGCCGGATGCTAACTGAACACGCGGGGAAGAGCCAGACAGTAAAACACACGCATTGTGACACTCCTGTGGGAATTAACCTTTAATATGGGAATGTGCAAAGTCCTCAGACTATAAATGGAAACAAAATGAAGCTGAGGAAGGATGAGGGTATTTTCAGACTCTCTGTTCTCAAAGACTGATGCACTCCAAAATCTCCCTCAGTGGCCTTTTTCTTAGCCACGGAGTTAAATAAAATGTTTACCTGGGGCACTCTGCGATGAGGAGCGAGCTGGCTGCTTGTCCCTCCATCTCGAGCCCTTGTGTCCTCTGCCTACACGTGAGCCGTGCTCACCCTGCCCGTTCCTGTACACCTGTCCTCACGGCTGTGCTGCTGCCCACCTTGGGTCCTTCCCAATGACCTTTGTCTCCTGCCTCCTTGCTTGTGAACATGGAACGACGGCGTGACTCGTACTCACCCGTTCACGTGCTCGCTGTATCTTTTCTCTGTCATGACTAAGGTTTTCTAACATCTCTTGGCCGATTTGCTCTATGGAACAGAAAAGAAAATGTAAGGAATGGTAACTTGGGGCGCATGTAGAGCACTCAGCATACCCACACAAGTACCAGGATGATCCTGAAAACAGAACCAAGATTAGAGCAGTGCCCCCTTACATACCAGACAAATTGTAATTAATGTACTTGATAATTTACCTATTGAGGATTACTGGATGCGATTTAAAATCCAACAAGCAGGCTGCAGTCAATATGGCATCACCCAGTTAGTGGTGATGTGACTTTTCCAAGGCCACTCAGATCAATTCCCAGCAAGATGGATGGAGGAGTGACTAACTACTTCTTCACTGTGGAGTGCAGACTTTGATTTTACAAACTGACGGCAACATGGAGGGTCCCCGTCCCTCTCTTACGGCACTGTTTACCTATGTAAGTCGACATACATTTACAGCAGTTGCGATTGATGTGTGTAGCCCTCGGTTTTCTGTCTGCATTTGGAGACAGTGACACTATCCTTCGCCTGCACTCTCCTGGAGGCAGGAGCTCATTTCATGTGTTCTCCGTTGATGTAGATTCTTGAGTCAAATCAGGTGGGGGGGGGCACTTGAACTTCCAAATACTTAGGCAACTACACACCACTTAGCGTGTTCATTAAAAGCCACACTGCCGACTGCAATGAGGATTTCCCTGTCACAAGGATCTCATTTGCTTGTCACTTGGCATTCTCTCCCCTGTTTTTTTTTTTTTACCAGCTGATCTTACAAATACACAATATACAGCTGCTTTGAATGATATTTTTCGCACCATTCGCCATCACCAGACGGTGCCTATCCTGCAGAAGAACATCAGACTGCCTTTGCAGAGACTGGGCACCATCGACACAGCCACATGCTCATACCCCCAACACTTTCACAACTCTGAGGACGCTCTCCCAGCCCATGATTTTGTACACAGAGCGCCTCTTCTTCAATATATTCCAACTCTTTACCACTGACCTCACAGAGTTTCTCCTTCAGGTACAACTGTAAAACGCACCCGGGCCTCGCAGACCGCGGATCTCATCACAAAAGTAAACACGGTGAAGGATGCAAACAAGGCTGAACGTCTTTCATCCTGGTTTCGCGCTGAAACTACTAGAGATGCTCAACTTTGTCCGACTGTTTCTACTACTTTAAGTTCCTTTACTCATTAAAATATAGCAGTTATAGCTAATTTATGACAAAAATCATTATTATAATATATATGCATGATTGCCGTAAAGTCATTATCTCAGGAAGACACTATTTGATACTATTTCCTTTCAGAGCAGACCACATTATAACACATGTTCTCAAGCAAATGGAAAGGAGACACAGATTACTGATACTGTGTCTGACATCCTGATTCGTATTTACGGGAAGACCGAGGAGCCGAAAGAATGGCGTAGAGAGGGAAGTGAGTCTCAGCATGGTTTAGACTGCCCGTCTTCCAAGAGGGAAGTGATGTCTCAGTACAGTTTAGAATGCCCGTCTTCCAAGAGGGAAGTGATGTCTCAGTACAGTTTAGAATGCCCGTCTTCCAAGAGGGAAGTGATGTTTCAGCACAGTTTGGAATGCCCGTCTTCCAAGCCATTGGAGCACAGCCCCAGAAGGCAGTCCTGGAGAGCAGACGCAAGAGTCTCAAGACTGTCAGGATCACCAGGAGTCAATGGAATAGGAGGTCAAGGGCTGGACTGTTCTTGGAGCCATAAGCTGTACCCACAAACTCCTTATTTCCAGGGACCTGAGTCTCAGTAGGGCAAGTATTAACCCCGTCTAGCAGGAGAGGAGATACTTGCAAAAATGCAGTCATCTTTGTTGGGGACAATAATCCCTCATTTCTTAGCTATTATATTTTAATACATTAGGAAAGAAAAATCCCAGGGAGATATATTAGAAACCATCAGCCTTATGGACAAAAAAAATATACGAAGAAAGGAAAACTTGCATACCAAACAAAGCAAATATAGGAGGTTGCTTTTAATAGACTCATTTGTCAGATAGTATTAGATATTAAGGGATTATTTAATGTAAAAATTATAAGATGGTTAGTTTAATTTTCTTGAATTGTTTAAGTAAAAAAAAAAAACAAACCACTCATCAAAACACCAGCGAAGCCTTCACGAGGGCTGGAGCGGTGGCTCAGCAGTTGTGGTGCTGCCTGTTCTTTCCAGGACCAGCTCCCAGCAGCCACAGGGCAGCTCACAACCGTCCCTGCAACCCCAGTCCCGGATATCGGGGTACCAGGCATGTATATGGTGCAGACACACATACAGACAAAACACCATGCATAAAATGAAACTAATAAACACTACTTGAAAAATGGAATTTGGGAGCTGGAGAGATGGCTCAGCGGTTAAGAGCACTGGCTGCTCTTCCAGAGGTTTTATTTCCCAGCAACCACAGGGCGCCTCACAACCATCTGTGATGGGATCTGACGCCCTCCTCTAGCATGCAGGCATGCATCCAGACAGAGCACTCATACGCATAAAATAAATAGTTAAAAAAAGGAATTTAAGCTCACAGACTTGAAACAATGGCAAGTGTGACATGCCACGTCTACAAGTTTTAGTCCCTTAAATTTTCCTGTGTTTGACAGGGACAGCTACCATGTACCTGGGGTGCAGCTGGGGATGCACGCTTTAGAAACAGCGTCTTTGCTGACCACCAGGCATCTTCCTGAGGCCAGGAAGCAACGGGAAGCACAAAATCATACTGGTTTCTGTGCGTGGCAGCTCTACATGCCAGTGTGACATGATGAATGAGTTCCTGGAAGGAAGACTTCCTTCCTGTCCTCCCATTCTCTCCACAGGGGTCCTGGGAATCATCTTGGGGACACAGCACTCAGACACATAAAATGAATTGTTTTTACAATTACACGGAATCAATCACAGCGTCCGTCACAGCCCTCTTATTTATAGGGCACACACTTGCAAAGGGTCTCTGGGTAACACTGCATCTCCTCTTCAGCCTTGCGCGTAGTGTATACAATAGGCATTCAATGCTTTCCTGTGTCCGAGTGAGCGGAACTAAGAAGGAAACAGGTAACCACAAATCTAGCAGGACACTTCCTGCAGGGTGTGCCCGGCAACTCCAATGCAGATAAAATCTAGGCTGAGGAGTTCGTGTCTTGGAGAGCCTCATGCCTTTTCACTCATCAAATGAGATCTGACAAATTATAAACACTTATCGGGAGATAAACACAGTGAGTCTTTAAAAGAAGTTGCTGAAGTAAAGATATTGGACCTGTACTTCAGCAACGAGTGAATTAAAATATCCCTGTGAGAACTCAGATGTGAGCCAAGCGTAGATCATGCTGCAAATGCAGCTGAAGAGAAAGTGCCTCGAGTCTAATCCAGCACGAAACGTCCCAATTGATAAATTCAAAATATGCAGTTTTACATTTTAGCCGTGGAGCTTCGAGCAGCACGCACTCCAGAAGGTACTGATTATTCCTCAGCACAACTGGACTTCACTTTCCTTTTACAACCTTTGCTAAGGATGTGGTTTCCGGAAAATTATTTTTAAAAGTGAAGAACAGCAGTTGAGACTTCTTTAAATTGTCCAGAGGAGACAAGGCTATTTCCTGACACTTGAAAACCCCATCAGCAACCTGGGAGCAGGGGGCCCTCACCCGCAGTGGCCCCGCAGGGGGACCCCACCCGCAGTGGCCCGCAGGGGGACCCCACCCGCAGTGGCCCGCAGGGGACCCCACCCGCAGTGGCCCAGCAGGGGGACCCCACCCGCAGTGGCTGGCAGGGGGACCCCACCCGCAGTGGCCCCACAGGGGGACCCCACCTGCAGTGGCCCAGCTGTTCCTTGCATCTGGGTGCAGAAGTTCACACCTAAGAGTTATCCTGAGGCGTGAGCTTTGTGGATTGTAGGCCAGCAGCTGGAAAGAGGATGAACGCATGATATTTTACCAACCGCCTGAACTGGGGACGTGGTGACTGGGAACTTCTGGCCACTGAGTCTAACACGAGGGAGAAAGCTGAGGGGAGTTGGGGTGAACGCAGCCTTCCCAGATCTGTCACTTGTCATCTGTAATGTGTCCTTGGGCAATGGGTCTGGCGTTACAACCCTTGCTTAAGGGCCGCACTCAGTACTCAAGAATCTTCCGAGCTCCTGACACAGGGATGGTATCATGCCACGCAGACTTTGGTTTTTCCATCTCTCTTCACTGAAACTCAGGACATGTGAGGGGCTTCAGCTTCCAGTGTGACTGAGGCCCAGACAAAATAGTTGGCAAAGTTTAGGACAAGAGCAGGCAATGCAAAGAAGATGGGATGGACTCTTTTTTTTTAAATTTATTTTTCAGTTTAAATTTAGATAAGAAACAAGGTTGCTTCACAAGTCAGTTCCAGGTCCCTCTCCCTTTCCCTCCCCTCCTCCCGTGCCCTCCCCCAAGCCCCCCCCATTATCCCCTCATTCCCCCAGGGAGGGTGAGGCCCTCCATGGGGGTGTCCATAGTCTGTCATTTCATACAGGGCAGGGCCTAGACCCTCCCCTAAGGTTTCAGGGTGAGAGTGCACCTCACATTGTTGGATGGGATGGACTCTTAAGAGATCAAGCACCTCCTACAGTTGGGAATGTGTGTTAGTCCCCTGCGAAGGGGGAGGGCTTTTCCGAGTACTGCCTGTATGGGCAGGAAGGGCACCAGGCAGATTGCAAGACCATCGAGGCTTACAGTGCAGTCTAGCTGAGCACTGCACTCCAGTCCAAGCCGTTTGGTCTGATCATTTCCCCTCTGCCCATATGCACCAAGGAAGACGCAATGGGGGAAGGCCTGATGGGGAGAGAATTCCCACACATCCTCAGACATCCTTATAGAGCTGGTGTTCAACACACTGTTAGAGGCAAGTCTGCCTCAGTGTGGTCTCACACACACGTGAAGCTACAGATGAACCCATGCGCAGATGGAGGACTGAGAGGCAGAGTCAAGGTATATAGTTTAGAGTGGCCTCAAACTAAAATTTACCTATCCTCCTCAAGGGCTGAGGACTGTGATTATAGGTGT